AGTCTTTCTCCTTGTGTGCGCGACGGGGCTTTTCGTGGACCCACTTTTCCTCTACACCATATCGGTGAACGACACGTGTATGTGTCTCCTCGTCGACGGTTGGCTCGCTCTCACCGTCACCGCGTTACGCTCCATGACCGATGTCTTGCACCTTTGGAATATTTGGCTTCAGTTCCAGATTGCTCGCCGGTGGCCTTATCCCGGCGGCGGCGGAGAGAGCGACGACGATGTTAACAAAGCAGATGGGCCACGTGTCCGTACGAGAGTTGCTCCGCCGTACGTTAAGAAGAAAGGGACGTTCTTCTTCGATCTCTTCGTCATCTTACCATTACCTCAGGTTAGTGAACCAATACTTTTATTTTATTTTATTATGAAACAAAAAACAATTATTTAGAATATGATTGTCGTTTACATTAGAAAGATACGATTCACCACAAAATATAATATTTAGATTTAATGTCTGAAATACGTGAAATTATCATACAACTTGTATGATACAAGAATTATTGCGAGCTTCTTCTTTTTTTCTTTATGAGACTATAAGGAGCGATCCATAGAAGAAAGTTTTCAAAAATTCGCCAAAGAACGAATAGAGAATATAACTTGAAAAGAAATAACTTAACGTATATAGTTATAAAATGGCATATGCACTAATTAATTATAGATCAAGACATCTGTATTTATATGCACGCACTTTCATAGCTGCAAAGTTTACTAAAAATAGATTGAACAAAAAAAAAGGTTTACTATACATAGTGGGTAACTTTTCATATTACTTCTACCTTAAGGGAGATTTCTTTTGAGTTAACAATTAGGATTGTATTACTAACATTGGCTTAAAGGCACAATCATAGTAATCAAATCTAGTACTGAACTAAATTTGACTAATCTAGGGAACAAATCTTATATCTAAATAATGTATGGTTCGAGATAAGTCTCACTTAGTCTTGCCTAATCATGTACTCGTGTGTGTGGACCAAATCAAATAATAGTACACATTCGATTTTTTTCGTATGGTACATTTTTGTTTTGTTGTTAAAATAATTTAATTAAATTTATATGAAAACATGAGAGCAGGTGGTGTTGTGGGTGGTGATACCTTCTCTTCTAAAGAGAGGATCTGTGACTCTAGTGATGTCAGTTTTGCTTATAGCATTCCTGTTCCAATATCTGCCGAAGATATATCACTCCATTCGACATCTCCGCCAAAATGCTACTCTCTCCGGTTACATTTTCGGCACCGTCTGGTGGGGAATCGCACTCAACCTGATCGCTTATTTCGTCGCCGCCCATGTAAGTTTCTTGATTGAAAAAGAAAGTTTTTGTTTGGTTAGACTGCTTAGTCATTTAATACACGTGATTCTAATGAAATCGGATTTTCTATTTCAATAATGAGATACAAAATTCGACTAGTTTAAGCCTAGTTACTAGTCTAAAAAAGATATAAAACTCGATGTAAAAAAGTTATTTTTACCTAAACGATTTCGGCAGTACTAGTCTAGTACTAATATGCTTTGTGTCCAATTTATTAACCAACGGATTAAAAATTTGACTAATGTAGATATGCATGTTGACCAATTCTTTTTACAAATTTTAGTAATTTTGTGTGTGTGTGTGTGGGTAATATTATTTTAAAAGTACTAATATATGGAAAAGGATGGTTTTGGTTGTGAAATTATTTAAGATGATACCTCAAATATTTTCACATGGACCTTTTCCATTGCTGTGGGAGTCTTCTTTTGAAAGAGAAATATATCAGAAAATGTTTTACTAAAAATAATATATATCAGAAAATGCCAAAATAAGAAAGGATTTGTTAGGAGGAAGGTATGATTCTCTGAATCACACAAGTCGCAATCAAATTATTTAATTGAAATTAAACATAACTTGCATCAGTTTTACGTATGATTAATTCAAGAAAGAATAAGCTAGAATAATAAATTATGCAATCATTAGCTACTTTAACCAAAATGCATATATTTTATGTGTTCACTTTTATTTGTCTTTCAGTGACTCATTACCTTTTAATTAACATCGTACGAGAATTTCTTAGCTCTTCCAAATCAATCATATAAGCATAAAAATTTGTCATCAATTATCAACTAAACTCCACAAAAATCTATTAATTTGTCAAAAAAATTCCGTTACCATTTACAATCCTAAATTCCTAATCTCTTACATATATGTTTGTGGACTATACAGGCAGCAGGAGCATGTTGGTACTTGTTAGGGGCCCAAAGAACGGCGAAATGTCTGAAAGAACAATGTGAAGACACGACGGGATGCGACCGAAGGATTTTATCATGTATGGAACCAGTGTACTATGGCACGACCGAGATGGTTCTTGACAGGGCTAGACTGGCTTGGTCACAAAACGATCAACCACGATCCACTTGCTTAGATATGAGCACCAACTACACCTATGGTGCTTATCAGTGGACCATTCAAATTGTGAGCAATGAGAACCGGTTGGAGAAAATCCTTTTCCCTATTTTTTGGGGCCTTATGACTCTCAGGTATATCACATCGTAACCAGTTTTGATATTCTAACCAAGTTGGATGGAATAAATAAAAAATTTGTCATTTACACAACCCTTTACATAGGTATATATAGATTTACTAATTTAAATTGACGGTATAAAAAGATTTAATTGATCTTTCTATTTGTAATTATTCAGCACATTTGGGAATTTGGAGAGCACAACAGAGTGGTCTGAGGTTGTCTTCAATATAATAGTTCTAACTAGTGGTCTTCTTCTCGTTACCATGTTAATAGGTAACATCAAGGTAATTATATTGGCTTGTTTTCTTATAGTTTAAATTATAATATGAGAAGATAAGGAATTCTAATTTGCTATAATATATGAAGGTGTTTCTGCACGCAACAACTTCAAAGAAGCAAGCAATGCACTTGAAAATGAGGAACATAGAGGGGTGGATGCAGAAGAGACAATTACCATTAGGGTTTAGGCAACGAGTCCGTAACTATGAGCGGCAGAGATGGGCTGCTATGCGCGGTGTAGACGAATATGAGATGGTTCAGAACCTTCCAGAAGGTCTTAGGAGAGACATCAAGTACCACCTTTGTTTAGACTTAGTTCGGCAGGTCAGACTGATCATTACAATAAATCACTGATTGAAGAGAAATAAATAATATATGTTAGATGAAATCAGTTAATAATTATTGATCGTTGATGTGGAAGACTAGTATTTGCATTTTTTTCTTTTCAGGTTCCATTGTTTCAACATATGGATGATTTGGTGCTCGAGAATATATGCGACCGTGTGAAGTCTCTCATTTTCACCAAAGGAGAAATCGTAAGTATCTTTAAACCAATTCTTGGATTACAAATTTCAATGTCGTGAAGTCATTCTAACCCACATGTGAATTTTTTAACTATAGTATATATAAATCGTAATCGGTTTCCTAAACCATCAAACAATATAGTTGTTTGTTAACGTGTGATCCAAGAAATCTCTCAAACACAATGTAACAAATGTTTGAAATGCATGCAGATTCAGAAAGAAGGAGATGCAGTGCAGAGAATGTTGTTCGTAGTGAGAGGTCATCTTCAGAGTAGTCAGTTACTAAGAGACGGCGTCAAAAGCTGTTGCATGTTAGGACCGGGAAATTTCAGCGGCGACGAGCTTCTCTCGTGGTGTCTCCGACGACCTTTCGTGGAGAGGCTACCGCCGTCTTCTTCAACGCTCGTAACGCTCGAGACCACCGAAGCCTTTGGACTCGACGCCAAAGACGTTAAGTACGTGACTCAACATTTCCGTTATACTTTTGTCAACGAAAAAGTCAAACGCAGTGCCCGCTATTATTCTCCTGGATGGCGAACTTGGGCCGCGGTTGCGATTCAACTCGCTTGGAGGAGGTACGTCATCTCATCATTTCTTGAATATATAAATCTCTTTCTTGAAAGTTGAAAATCATTTGCCAATCTCTTTTTTTTTTTTAAATGGTTTTCTTGTTAATGGATGTGATAGGTACAAGCATAGGTTAACGTTGACGGCACTGTCGTTTATAAGGCCGAGGAGACCATTGTCGAGATGTGCGTCATTAGGAGAAGATAAGTTGAGGCTCTATACAGCAATTCTGACCTCTCCTAAACCCAATCCTGACGATTTCGAAGATTATTAGTTGTTCCTACTTCTATTATCTACATACTATTATTTTTTCCCTTCAAAAGTCGCATTGCATTATTTTAGTTGATGATACTTCTATAGTTCTATTATCTATCTTTAACATGCTTGACCCGAAAGTCAAACCTCTTAAAATATTCATGATATAAAGGTATAAAACAGAGGTTAAAGATTTCAACTGATTTCTTAACCTTTTTGATTCGGACTATTGCATTACATATTCTTGATTCATTAATAAAGCTGAAATTTCATCTGATTTCTACATCTTTTTTTCTTTTGATAAAATCTAGTGGACCTATTACAAATCTTAATAGCTTAGACGTCAAGAAATATATTGAGCTTTGGTAGAATCGCTGCTTCAGTTCTGTGCCGTACCAGGATTTAAACCAACCGGTTCGGTTCTCTGAGTGCTGAAAGACAGTTTAGCTGACCTGTCATGGACTCATGTTCGACGTGTCACCAACACTTCCTTCCTCTCAAAGCAATAAACAAATCTTCCAAAGGCCACAAACTCTAAAAATTACAGCTTTTGCCACCAAAGGCACAAAAGAATTATTCATTTTAAAGAACAGAAAAAAATTAGAGAAAATTAGGCTAAAAGACACTTGTTGCCGCCTTTCTCTCTTCACCTCTAGCCTGTAATTTGTTTTTCTTCCTCGTCTCCAATATTTTTAATGTTTCTTTGAACATCCTCGCATTTTCTTGGAGAAACATTTCTGATCTTCTGATTTGTTTCTCCCTCAGATTTATTATTTTTTCTTTCTTTTTTGTTCGTAGATTTTGGCGGTCAAGAAAACCTCTGCCGATTTTAATCGGAAGGCGAAGAGACGTGCATTTTGTCTTAACCTCCGATGGCGCCACGTCTTTTCGCCTGTTTTGGCCTCAAAGGATCGTCAACTTCTACAGCCGGAAAAAAAAATTCCGGTCAAAACGCGGCTGTCGTCGCAGCTGACGTTCCCGCCGGTGACGGACCTGTTCTGGTTCAGCTCTTCTCGTCTCAAGGATGTAAGACTTCTCCTGAAGCGGAGATGCTCATGTCACGACTCGGCCGCGGCGATTTCGACGGTCAGATCCGTCGGGAAGGTGGATCCGGTTCTCCAGCGATGGTTCTTGTTTTCCACGTGGATTATTGGGATTACTTGGGGTGGAAGGATCCTTACGGTTCGAGCCAGTGGACGGTGAGGCAAAAGGCTTACATTGAGGCGTTGAATCAAGATACAATGTTTACTCCACAACTTGTGGTTCAAGGTCGCGCCCAATTACTTGGGAATGAAGAAGAGACTCTGCTCAAGTCCATCGTCGAAGCACCTAGGTTTCCTTCTCCGGCCTTCCATGTGAGTTATTTTGTTTTACGCCTAAAAATGTTCTAGGTCAAAGTCCGTATATATTCCTAGACCATAACAAAATGTTCTAGGTCAAAGTCTGTATATCCCTAGGCCCGAACCAAAGCATGTTATTTAGTCTGGTCTCAAATAACTTTCTTACTTTGCCAATGGAATTGAGATTAGAACAAGTTGCGTTTGGATTGTTAAGTAATTTTGATATGTTACTTAATAATGGTTTAGGAATCAATGGATCAACAAGATTTACAATAGACTGATCTTGTGTGTGAGTTTGTAACTATATTGTATGATCAAGATCAATTGTTAATGGTTTATTTTACCAGGCCACATTCCAAAGACCAACCTCAGAAACCCTTCAAGTATCTCTCACGGGAGCTTTGAGGATGAAAGTGGACTCGAGTGGGATGAATATAATGGTGGCGCTATACGAGAACGGACTAGTGATTGATTGTCCTCGAGGAGAGAACTCGGGAAGAGTCTTGGCCAATGACTACGTTGTAAGAAAGCTAGAAAAATTATGCACCGTTAAAGATTTAACGGCGAAGAAGACGGTGTCGGGGACGGCTCATTTCACGGTGTGGGATGGATTCAACAGTGCTAAATGTGGAGTTGCTGTTTTTCTACAGAACACATCTCTACAAATTTTCGGTACGCAGAGTTTTCAATTGCCTGATGAGATTTGACCCTTAAAAACAAAAACAACATTAGGAAAATTTTTTAAATAAAAAAAAAAAAAAAAGAAGAAGAAATTTACCCTTTTGTTGTTCGTTCATATTTGGTTATTGGAATTTGTGTGTACAGAAGGATATTTGTCACTCTCGTTTATAGGCACTGCTTTGTTTGAAGTTTTAACCGTTCCATTTTTCTTTTCTTTTCTGAGTTATGCTATGAACGTTCTATCCCAGTCGACTTTAATTAGGATATAAAATTCAATGATTTTTAATTTTTATATGGTGACAATTGACGAGAAAATATTTTGGCCGAAACATACACTACTTACAACTTCTTGCTCTTTGTTGCCATTAAAGTCTTAATAAATCTTGGCACCTAAAGCCTTCGCTTCACCTCCTTTAGGATGGTACTTGGCAAGACAATTTATTCCAAACCAGCTATGGGATGTTGTAAACACGTGAGTAGAAGGTTTGAGAGTCTTCATGTTGTGGTTTCATGCATTTCTGTGAACAGGACATGGTTAATCGTTTTCCAAACTTAGCATGTAAAAATCTATTGGAATTAGATGCGTAACATTCCTTAATCTGGTTTTTAACCAAAAAAAAAACATTCCTTAATCTTAAATTTAGGATAGTAACGTGTATATATATTTCGTTACAAGCTGTTTGTGGGATGTTCTGAAGAACATTAAGTTATGAAAGTTTAATGCAAATATGTTGCATACAATTGCTACAAATATAATGTTCTAATATAAAATCCTACAAGAAGACTAAGAATCGAAACAATTATGCTAGAAATCGACGAATTAATTACCCCATATATGTCGACAAGTAAGGATGATTTTAAAAACTTACTGTCATGGGGCTCTATAACTAAAAGAAGCATCCAAGTTTCTTTTTTTCATATGATATATTATAGTTGGACAATAATATCAAGTAGTACACAACCACAAGAAGATATATGGACTTTAGTGAAATGTCGCTAGTCACTACATACAGGCGTGGGCTTCATGATACCACACACACAAATTATAATTATAAACTATCGCTGATTTGTTTAATAGTATGATACTATTATGACTTATGTGTGTTACGTGTTTTATACATACTATATACAATAATAGATCAATTGATCAATTGTGCATGGTATATCATAAACATTATCCTCATAATGTCATTGTTGACGAAATTTTGGAAATACTTTTGAATGAAAGTAATGAAAGAAATTGGATGGTATATATATTCTGTTCATTTTCACTTGTAACGTTAGAGCGTATCTCCGAAAGAACTTCAATGCTGTTTAGAAAAATGTATATAAATAAAAGCGAGAAAGAAGGATATGAAAGCAACGATGTAATCAATTTTGAAAATCTTAGAAACTAAATGAAACCTAGACGAAAATAAACTTTTGAATTTAATTTATATTTAGTTTCTTACAGAAAACTAAAATGAAGATGGTAGCTGATTAAATGAATTGACATATGATAAGACTTACAACATTGATAGTCTATTTTATGATAAGACTTGCATAATTGATAGTTGCATTTTTAAAAAGAACTGCTAAATTTGAAAAACGAGGTCCCCGTCGTCGTCGCCTTCATCAAAATTATGTCTATGACAATTACTTAATGTTACAAAGAAGACAATTATTGTGATTTTCAAATTTTAATATTGGGTTGTTGGAATTCCTGTAGATTAATGAGGCGAAAATATACTCTACCAATAATAACAGACTATAGTATTTCTTTAGTCCAAAAATTAAATAATATTTGACCAGATTATCTGGATTTTATGTCGTCTTATTTATTTCTCGTAGGGATCTAAATTTTTTTTTTTCAAATTACTCCAAACACGATCAAGTTCTCAACAACATTATTCAACTTTATAAATCTCTTTAGTAGATTTATCATAGATAACATAGAGTTAATTAATAGTGATTGTGGATGTCATTTGTTTTTCTATAGCCAAAGAACTTTGGATCGGAACCTACACCAATCTATAATTGCTAAAGTATGTGGAGGAGCTACAAGAGACTTAAATTCTAGTATCTCAAATCAAAGACTAAACCATTCAACCAGTGGACAGAGAATTGATTGATGCATATACTAAATCACATATGACCATTTAAATGAAACAGTAATAAAATTTTCCAACTGAAACAGTAATAAATTTATTAATATTAAATCAGAATTTTTTTAGTTGGGTGAAGTCTGTGGAATCATTCATAATTCAAATTATCCAATGAAACCCTGGCGGCATTAGGCCTCACTCACTTTCAGACACATGTATTTTGACCATTACTATTCCTTGTTTTTTACGCATGATGCACTGCAACGACGCTTGGTCGTTGCCTTGACCTAACTTTAACTTGGTAAAAACAAAAATATGTGTTATATGAGTATTATAGTAAAAAAAAGGATATCAGTTTTAAGAAGTTAAGAGGATAAACAAGATCATCTTGACAAAGTAAACTACATTAGTATACTGTGCATATTGGTATTTTACGTTAATGTAAGCTAATAATCCTTATTTTTATTTCTCGACCATCTCTAATTATATACGAATATTGGTATTTACGTGAATATAATGTATTATATAGTGATGACTCTATGAGAATGACTGATCAGTAAACACTAAACATATGTAATTAACTAAAAACATAAACACTAAACATACACGCAACAGAGCTATCTTGAAAACTGTTCGATGATTTGAGACAAAGGGACCAAAACAAATAGAACCTTCCTCATATATCTATCACACTTCCTCATACACTACTGAGGTTCTGCCACGTATTCTTGCTCCATCAAAAATAATTATATTTAGGGTTAATAAAGATGGTTTCGTCTCATGCTTCTTGTTTGTTACTTATTCGTTTGGTCATAGCTTTTTGTTCGTTACCATAAGTCTTCATTTTTATTTTTTAAAGAAATTACACACACTTTTGTTTTTGTCAACATAATAAGTTGTTATTTTCTGATTCTTTTTTTTTTTCTCCGTATTTCATCAAGAAAAGACACGTATTTAGCTAGATGATGGAAGGGCGGTACCGAATCTCCTTGACTTGACTTTGCATATACCATATATAATTGTATATACATATTCATGAAAAATAAACCATATTTTCTCTGTAATCAAGTTCTTAAAGCTGTTAGCTACTTATTTATATCTTTCTCAACAATTCAACATATAACATTTGAAAACAGATGGGAAAATCATCAAGCTCGGAGGAAACTGAAGTCAAGAAAGGGCCATGGACTCCGGAGGAAGATGAGAAGCTCGTAGGCTATATTCAGACGCATGGTCCCGGAAAATGGCGAACCCTTCCCAAGAACGCCGGTAAGTTTCCTACCCCAACACATGAATCTATACACATGCACACCAACGCCAGCTAATTAATTCCTTTAGTCTAAAACTTTTGCTTTCGTTCTGTATATACGTTTGTGGTTTAACTTTACTAAGCATGTGATGTCAACACATGCGCATATATACATAAGAAGTTAAGAACAAGCTTCAGCTAAATCCTATAGGCTACGATTTGTTTTCTTCCGTTCTGTGTCAACATTGAAACTTGTGTTTAAAACCTACTTATAATGATAATTAGCATATTATATCATGTAAACGTCAACGTTAGTGTTTACATTTAAAACAATCATGCCTCTGATTTCATTTTCTTGGTGTGAATCTTGAAAAGGGTTACAACGATGTGGAAAGAGTTGTAGATTACGATGGACAAACTATCTAAGGCCCGATATCAAGAGAGGAGAGTTCTCTCTTCAAGAGGAAGAGACTATCATTCAACTCCATCGTCTTCTTGGAAACAAGTTAGTCTTTCTTCAATTATTACTTTTATTTTTATTTTTTTTAGTTTAGCTTTGAATTGCTAAACTGATATTCTGAGAAAAAAAAAAAAATTGTAACTGATTTTTGCAAGTATTATTAAATAAAACTAAGTGACCTAGTTTTCCACTACTACACCTACTTCGTTGGACTTCCATACCTTTACAATATTATATAAGAATACTACTTGCATAGTTTATCTAAATCAACTAAAATCCAAGTACATACGCACTATCAAGGTCAAATGTCTAAAGCTAAGGTTGCGACTCTTTATGAACTCTTTACGCAACTAATATACTTGGAAAGTCAAAACTTATTACTTCTCACTTTAACTTTAACTTTGTATCTAACTCGACTTTTGTCTTCTATATATATATATAGATGGTCCGCCATTGCTATTCACTTGCCAGGAAGAACAGATAACGAGATAAAGAACTATTGGAACACGCATATAAAGAAGAAACTCTTACGAATGGGGATTGATCCAGTGACTCATTGTCCCCGGATCAACCTTCTTCAGCTCTCCTCGTTTCTTACTTCATCTCTCTATAAATCTATGTCGCAGCCGATGAATTCTCCATTTGATCCCACTACTTCAAGTTTTAATCCAGAAATCTTGAATCACCTCACTGCCTCTCTCAGCAACGTTCAAACCGAATCATACCGACCAAACCAACAGCTTCAAAACGACCAACAAACCAGTTTCACCGGTTTGCTCAACTCCACACCACCGGTTCAATGGCAAACCAATGGAGAATACTTGGAAAATTATCTCAACTATACCGGTTCAAGTGACCCGTCTATTAACCAAGTCCCTCTAACCGGAAACTACTCATCCGCCGCATATGTTTCCGATGAAATCAACGGCGGTGAGGACTTCAAGGCCGGGTGGGACTTCAGTTCATCGATGTTACCGGGAAGTTCGTCCAGTAGCTCGACACCGCTGAATTCTTCTTCCACGGTTTATATTAATGGTGGAAGCGAAGATGATAGAGAGAGTTATGGTAGCGACATGTTCATGTTTCATCATCATCTTGATCATAATAATTCTTTGAATCCATCTTAATATGTTACTTCTTTTCCTTATTCTTATTGGTTTAAGTTTACTTGGAGTTTATTATTTTTCTTTGCTATGCTTTTTTCGTCTATTAGCTTTTTTCTTTCTTGTACTTTGAAGAACTTTTTCCATTTTTTTTACTCTTAAAAGGCTGATACATGTGTAAGTTCGTTACATTACATACTTTTTATTTTAAGAGCTTGGTGTATCATTTATCTTACCTTTGTATTTAAGAGCTTAGTGTATCATTTATCTTAACTTTTCCATGCTTCTTCTTCTTCTACGTACTTGACTGCTTGCGGAAACAGTTGCTGGAATAGGCATCTCCGATTTCTTGAATAGCAACTACGATTTCTTATAAATATACAATCCTTGTTCATAATTCAAAAATTACATGAATTTCCAATTCAAAAATTGATAACCAAACTGAATATTTATACTTTTATATTATTTTTTAAATTTCATCTTAGCTTATGTGATGTTCAATTCATCCATTCAAAACAGTATATATTTAATGTGTTGTGTATGCGCATAACGCATGCGCAAAACCGACACCTAGCTAGTAATCTTTTATATAATGCCTGTATTAACTTTTTATAGTTAAATCATTTGAAAAAAGTATGAAGTATGCAAGTCGGATATAAATAGAATAATAAATATTTATTTCTATGATGTGTCCATTGAAAAAGACCTTAAACATATTTGTAAAAGAAGAGGAAGAATTGCATATTTGATTTAAGAACAACAACAACTATATTTAGGAGCTTTAGGACCAATAAGTCCTTCGGATATAATGCAAAGACCATTTTTGTAAGACGACCCTGCACAATATTTTCTGCAATCTTGATCCACGAATCGATCGTTGCATTCTTGACTTTCGTCTTTACAATTCGAAGGCAAAACTTGCTGCACTCTTATTCCCGTTTCAGCTACAATCATTACAAGAAACTAATTAATTAATTTCTTGAAGGACACAAATTATCGATAAGTCATTATAAAGAGATATACAGAACAAATACCAAAGAAAATGTCATATAAAGTTACAAAAAAAACATGAGTGAATGTAGCCAAGTGATACTAGGAATTTTTTATCAAGGAAAAATATTCCATTGATATGCCACCATAAGAATAAGTCTGGGATCATATGTTTGTGCATAAAAAATATATCCGTCATAATGCAAAATGAAAACATGAAAGTATTTATAAGTACTTTTACAAAAAAAAAGAAAAGTATTTATAAGTACCGGAGTTGAGATTATTTGTTCGGCAATGGACGGCAGTTACCGCGACGAAAACGGTGATGGTGAAAGCAATCAACATTTTTGAGGAATCCATCTTCATACAATTCGATTTCCTGTACACTTTTCGAATGGTTTAACCAAATCTTGTTAGTTAATGGTTGATACTATTACTAATAAGTAATAACCATAATTATGTTTGTACAATTTATAGCATCCAGGGCATGACCAATTGACCATTAATACTAAAAGTATTGATTTCGTTCTATCCATGTTTCCAAAAACTTTCAATGTTGGAAGTAGCAAATCCTCCCCCCTCAAAAACGATGGTAACTTCTTACCCAAGAAAAAAAAAATATCATTCACGTCCGTTATGTGAAGTTTTGGATACACACAGTTTATAGGGGTAAAAGTTTTTTTTTTTTTTTTTTTTCTTTTTTTGACAAAGCATCTCAGTAGTTCTTAGCACTAGCTAGCTTATTTCGAGAGAGCGGAAAAACCTCTAAAATGAAAATAAGTATGTAAAAACACGTAGAGATATTTGAACGATTTTGATTTTTGAGAGAAATATAAATACCTTAAACACTCTTTTTTGAATTTCACTGGTTCAACTTTTTGTGGACTTGATTACAACTGAGAAAATGATGAGGTATTTATATATACCCTCCTAAAGATATCTTGCAAAAGATCTAGATACTTCACCATAATTACCTTGGTTGCAAGATATATATCTAATTTTTTAGAGTTTTCTACATGCAATAGTATCTAAATATTTTATTCTTACTCTAGAACTTGTTTGGAGGTGATGTAATAAATGAAAGAATATCCGAAATATCACCAAATTATATTCCATTTTAAAAAGTATTCCTTATAATATCAATTTGAACATTTATATGATATTCTCTAATTAATTATATTTCCTGATTTATAATTTAATATTTTATAATCTTGTGTCTTATTCAAGAGATCAAGAACATGTCAATATTTTATTATTATTATTGGTTTACTCACAAATAATTAATGAATTTTACAACAACAAAACTTGTGAGGACTAGGAGGGTTTCCAAAACCAATACAAGAACCCTCTCTGAGTTTATTCTTCGCACAGATCACTTTGCACTCGTTGTCACCAAGTTGGTTGCTGCAAGGATTATAGCACAATATATCCGTCTCGCCCTGTTGAAAATTACCTATTTGATAAAACAAATTTATTGATACACACATAAATAACATTACTAATAATATTTATTTTATAAGAAAAAAAAAACAGAAGAAGTTTACGAAAACAAGGATTTTGTTATAATATGGAAAGCAATTTAAAAAAATTCTGCTGAAGCAGGTAGAAATAAACCAATAAATAAAGAGAATAACAAAAAAAAAACTACAAATACCGAAGGCGATGTCATTTGTTTGGCAGTGAACGGAGGAAACCGCGATAAGAACGGTGAGGCCGAATACAAGCAACATTTTTGAGAAATCTAACTTCATACTCGATTTCTTACACAATTTTCGAAAGATTTAACAAATCTTGGTTAGTTTTTTTTTTTTTTTTTTTTGCTTAATAATTTGCAGGCATATGTTAAATCTATTTATAGTTACACGAAATCGTCGTTGGTCAAGCCGTTACTTATCTTTATACCATTCAAGGATATGGTAAGTTGACCATACATTTTAGTGATATAATTATTTAATTATAATCTTAATTGAAAACCTTTTCTCTTTTTGCATTTTATAAAAAAAAAATTCCAGGCTCTGTTGATTTAATGACACATCCCTCTCTGAAAATTAAGAATGTTATATGCACTTCTTGTTAAGTGCTTTCTCTCAAGTATTATTAGTTTATTTTATTTGTTACTATTAAAATATAGCCAAATATACATAAAAAGTTAAAAACATATATTTAGCATAAAATATTATTTCTCATTAGCCCAAAAAAATCTTTGGGTGTTACTGAAGAGATCAGAAACATATATATCAATACTATTATTGGTTCAAACACTAATTAATAATTAACTAATTTTTACAACAACAATATCTAACAGAAGGGGGTATTCCAAAACCAACACAAGAACCTTCTCTGTATTTCTTATTCACACAAATCGCTTTGCAATCATTGTCGCCGAGTTTGTCACTGCAAGGATTAAAGCACACCTCACCCTGTTGAAAGTTACCTATTTGAAAAACCAAATTTATTGATACACACATAAATAAAACTACTATTGATATTTAAAAAAAAATCACTGTTTTTTACAAATAAATAGAAAAAACGAAAGGAAGGATTTTTTTAATCACCTAGAGATTTATTGTAGTAAATACTTCTCAAATTTAAATCAAAGTACAAAATAAACCCACAAATAAAGAAAATAACAAAAATCTACAAATACCAGGGGCGATATCATTCGTTTGGCAATGAACGGAGGAAACCGCAATGAGAACGGCGAGGCACAACACAACCAATATTTTGTAGGAACCCATATTTATAATATTCTAATTCTTACAAGATTTTCGAACGTTTTAACTAGTTCTTGTTGGTTTTTCTTGCTTATTAATTTGCAAGCATATGTGTTAATTGGTCTATTTATACTTACAAGAAATGGTCATTCGTAAGTTGTTAGTTATCTTTAGACCATTCAAGAGTATAGTCAGCACTTGACCAAACATTTTTAGAGATATAGTTATTGTTTTGAATCTTAATTCAAAATATTTTAACTTTTGAATCTAATCAAACAAACGAAATAATGAAATAACCATAATACAAATAAATAAGTGTCATGCGCTAGTAGCCTAGTACAGTCATAATCCAACTATGTTACTTCTTGCTATATTGTAGTTATAGATATCATATCAATTTTTAAAAACTACATAAATCACACTAAAACAACTACAATAAGTTATACAACAATATAACAGTAGATAAGCTATGAAATGATAGCTAAAACAAATTTTGCGAAAAATACATATAACCCATTAATGAATAAGAATCTCTTAAAACCCTATGATCACAAAATATTAATAAAATATTCCAAAGAGCCTTTACACTTGCCGGACACTAATTTGTTTGAAGCTCAAGGCCCTGAATTTTGAATTAAGGTATCATTTGTTTAAATTTTCAGTCTTCGTTATAGACACAACTGAAGTTTTCTATTCAAAGCTATCAGGACTGTCTATTATGCTTCCAAGATGTGACTTGTGAGTGGATGTATTTCTCGTAGAAAAATGAATTTATTGCTTGTGAGCTAGTAATTCACGTATCTGAGCTCATGAAGATTGCAATTCTACAAAGTGGGGCTTCAACATTTACGATTTTGAGGACCAAATAATCTATACCTATATATTTTATAAGAAATTTAGAGACCAGATGATCTAACACATAATAGTCATTTTAATTTCTGTAGACAGCAAATATTGTTGTTCTCTGGTTAATTTATCAGTTTATGCTTCCGACGAATGTACCATAAACCCGTAAAAGACTTTTATGTATGATAATTTGTTCGGTTAAACAAATTTTGTTGGTTCTTTAGATTGGGAATAGTTTCATCTAAGATTTAGATTAGTCTAATTACTTTTGTTTCTAACTTAAGTAAAGAAAACAAATCGAACAAAGAGATGAATCTTGAATGATCTGGTTCTTATCGTAATTTGTAATCTACCAAATTTAGGACAATACAGAAAGAAAAAAAAGGATGTGTTTCTTGATATCTTCAATCCAATTTTTATTCTTGAATTTTTTTATTTAACCATAACAAGTTATCAGTTAACTAAATATATTTT